CTGGTTGATGTACAACCATTTCAAGAGGTAGCATATGATCAAGGATCCATGGTACTGAAGGAAGAAGTCCAAGCTGCACTGAAAGAATCAGCAAAAAAATAAGGCTCCAGGCATTAACTAAATACTCATTGAGATGTTTCAACAAATAGATGCAATGTTGGAAGCGCTCAATCGTTTATACCAAGAAATTTGGAAGACAGCTACTCAGCCAACTGACTGGAAGAGATCCACAGGTTTGTCCGTTCCAAAGAAAGGTAATCCAACAGAATGCAAAAATTATCAAACAATATTGTTAAAATCACACGCAAGTAAAATTTTGCTGAAAATGATTCAAAAGTGGTTGCAGCAATATATTGACAGGCATCTGCCAGAAATTCAAGCTGGATTCAGAAGAGGATGTGGAAGGACGGGTATCGTTGATGTAGATGGATAGTGGCTGAGGGAAGAATACTAGAAAGATGTTTACTTTGACTATGCAAAGGCATTTGGCTGTGTGGATCATAACAAATTATGGACAGCATTGGGAAGAATGGGAATTTCAGATTGCTTAATTGTGCTCAAGCAACCTGTACAGAGGTCAAGCAGCTTTTTGAACAGAACAAGGGGATACTGCATGGTTGTATCCCTTTACCATACTTATTCAATTTGTGTGCTGAGCAAATATTCCAAAAAGCAGGACTACATGAAGAAGAACGAAGCATCAGGATTGGAGAAAGACTCATTAACAATTCGTGATATTCAGATGACACAACCTCAAAACTTGACGGTATCTAACAACAGGGTGAGTGTGGTGATTAAACAGAAGAGAGTGTTGATAAACACTAAATGAATAACCCGAATAGTGCCTGGCACATAAAGAACTCAATTTGTACTTGTTGAATGGGTGAACAAATGACCTGTGGAAACTTAAACTTGTTAAGCATTTACTTCCATTGTACCCCGCACTGTTCAGAGATTATCACAACTATCTTCCGGAGTAAATACTATGTTTTGGATGAGGGCCTTCATCTAGTCCTGCGGCAGAAATGCGAGGTCACTCGTTCAAGGTCATCACAAAGCTAGTCATTATTAGAAGGGCGGGGATTCGAGCCCTCAGGAGCCCCCCTTTTCGCCTCTCTCGGGCTTGGCGAGAGGCTACAGCGCCGCGGCCAAGACCTTGGTCGCACATCTCCTCCACCAGATAACACACAGTTTCAGAGCAATTACTTGCGGCGGCAGGATTCGAACCCGAGTCCTTGTCCCCAAGGCCTCCCCAGACCTCAGTTTACCCATGTGTGAGACGCGGCCTCGAGGGGCTGGTCCGAAGGCTCCTCTGGCCCTTACTGGACCGAAGGTGGGGAGCGGCCGGAGGCAGCCAGGCTGGTCCACGCGGCGGCGCTCTCCACCCGGCGCGCCTCCCAGCCCCCCGCGCGCAAGCCCAACGGCTGATGTGCGCGCCGCCTCGCGGCTGGAGGCGCGGGGGCGGGGCGGGGCGGGACCGGGAGGGGGAGGGGAGCTCCCACCTCTTGCCCCTCTCCTCAGCCGCCTCCGCCGCCACCGCCGCCGCCGCCTCGGTCGAGCCCCCACCGCCGGCCCTGGGCTCTCTGGAGCCTTCCCTGCCCTCCCCCTTCTCCCGTTCTCCCTCCCTGCGCAGTGGAAACATGGCGGCGGGAAGGGAGTGAGCCTCTCAGCGCCCCGCGTCGCCGCCGCCGCGTCCGCAGGTAAGCGCCTCTTCCGCCGCCTCGGCTTGCCAGGGACGCCCGCGCCCTGAGGGGCCAGAGCCACCAGGGGCCTCTCTGGGAGAGGAGACCGCGGCAAGACTTGCCCAGCCTCTGCCCCCGCCCATCGGGCCCCGGTGTCTGTCAGTCTGTCTCTCCGCGTCGCCTTCGGGGTCTGCCAGAATGCTTGCCTGGACTGCGCGCAGCTGCAGCCCTTCTCCGGCCGGTGTCAGCCCGGTCAGAGTCCCCGGCGGCCGATTTTTCATCTGCGGCCGGGCTGGCGGGGCCCAGTGTCCGGCCCGCGGCCCTGACACGGTAGGGACACCCCGGGGCCCCTGACACGAGAAACCCTACAAGAGGGAACCCTTGGAGGGCCGGCATCGCGGGGCTGTCATTACGGGGATCGTGTGTCCAGGCCGTCGGCGCTGGCGTCGGCCGCAGAGGCGTTGGCTTTGAGCCGAGAGCCGAGAGTTGGCGTGGCGTGTCTGAGATTATACCTGCGGGTTCTCGCCCGAGGGGACTAAAGTCAGGTGGGCGACACGGCTCGGCCGAGGCTCAGAGGGCCCGGAGCTATCTGCAGCCATCATCAGGGCTGGGTTCCAGTGGCGAGAGCTGCGCCGGGACAACTCACGTGTGCCGCCTGCCCCGGGGCCCCGCCGGTTTCCGGCGGGGTAAGCGGGTTCCAACCTCAGTGAGCCTTAGAGGTGAGCAAGCGACCAGGAGTGTTGGACACGTGGTTACGGCTGTGGGCCAGCCTCAAGGAGTGAAAAGGGCTTCCAGGAGATGGGTGAACCCCAGAACATCTCCGAACTGGAAGGGAATTTAAATCATTATGGTCCATCAGTTCCATTCCATGCCCTTACAGTAAGCTAAACCAAACCCATTGTCATCGAGTTAAATTCCGACTAATAGCAACCCTATGGGACAGGGTAGAACTGCCCCGCAGGGTTTCCAAGGCTGTAAATCGTTACGGAAGCAGACTGCCTCAGCTTTCTCCCGCAGTGTGGCTTTTAGGTTCGAACTGTTCGTTTGGTTAACAGCTGAATGCTTTAACCACTATGCTGCCAGAACTCCTTGCCAAAGTATCTTTGAAATTACAACTGTCAGCCTAGTTATTTGACCAACCTGTTTGAACACTTCCAGTGATGGGAAGCCAATCGATTCCCAAGAAAACCAATTTTGTTCCCGGACAGCTTTGGGTTTTAGAATTTTTTTTTTTTTTTTACGTTGAAACAAACAGTTGCCTCCCATTCTTCCAAGTTCTTTTCCCTTGTGGACAGTCATTTAGGTATCTGAAGATAGTAATCATGTCCCCTAGTCTCATTAATTCTGTTTCCTTTTATCTCTCATATGCAGCGGTTCTCCGATCTCTTGATGAGCTTTGTAACCTCTTTAAAAGAAGGCTTCTTAATGTGAGCAAGGTGACAAAACCTAGTAAGTTTCTCTAACAAGTTGCTTGGCCCCAAGGATTACCCTACTTAAATAAAAAAAGCGTTGGATTCCTCATTTTTGTGATGTGTTTTGAACTTCTTAAAAAAAGACATCTCTTAGTATTTGTTCAAGAGAACTTGTAGAGGTACTGTTTTGTCCTGTTTTATGGACCACCCTCTTTTTTAGTGTCTAAAAACATTTTATCAAGTGAATTAATGTATATCAAAGCATTTAAAAGTTGCAAAGGACTATGCAAATAGAAGAGCTTATTATTTTTACTCTGAAAAAGGATTGAGAACTGGTTTGATGCCAAAGCACAATTTAATATTTAGTTGGAGAGGAAAATACTTTATTACATTGAACTCTTTGCTCTATTTCTAACTGCCAGCAAAAGGCCCAAAATCACTGAAAAAGATCACTTTCATTGCTCACTTACCAGCATAATTATTATTTTTTTTACATGCTCTTTCTTTACATAGTTTTGTTGGTATGTAGGGTTAAAGTTTTAAGAAGGATCTTTTATCAACCTTCTAAACCCCTACCTAAGCAACCCTGCAGGTTAGTAATTTTTTTAAGCCCAGCAGAGATGTGATGGCCTTGTAGAGAAAATGCCAAGCTCTTGTATCTGAAATCTTGTTCAAGTTCTAAGCAGGGTTTCACTGTTTATAATGTAGATGCAGACAAGCACATACCAGTGTTAGAATTGATTTCTTTATTTTTGTCCTTAATGTCTTCATTTTTCAAATTGGTCAGTGATGTTAAAGTTTGCAGCACATAGTCGTTCTGATTTTTGATATGTTTGTACAAATGCTGTTTCCCTTTTATGTAAGCTGGATAAAAATTTGTATAGTACTATTTTGTACAGAACTGTACAGACCCAACAAAGGCAACAGTCCTTTCCCTTTAAAGGGTGTGGTGTTAAAGGCAGGGCATGCTAAACTTTGTGAGAAAAAAGCTGGTGTGACTATCCCACTGAACATTTAAACTCACCAAATTTAAACTTCACCCTACACTTATGTGCCTACTGTGTGTCAGGCATCATGCCACATACTGTGTTTAGATGTGTATGCAAAGATAAATAAGCCACATTTTCAATCCTTGTGGGGCTGGTAAATTAGAAGCTAAAATAGATCCCCTCAGAATAGAAAATGAGAACTGTGCATATGATGTGTGGTTGACCAAAGGTGAGGGCACTTAGACTGGCCTAGGAGTTGAGGGAAGGCTTTGGGAAGAGATGACACCTGACCCAAATCTTAAATGTTAAGTAAGGAGCTCTGGTGGTATAGTGAGTGGATAAGGCATTTCACTGTTAATCTGAAGGTCAGCAGTTCAAACCGACCAGCCACTCCTCAGAAGAAAAAGGGGTGATCTATTGCTGTAAAAATTTACAGCCTCAGAAACCCAGTGGGGGTCACTATGAGCCGGCATTGACTTAAGGGCAGTGAGTTTGGTTTTTTGGTTTGGAGAAGCATGCTAGTCAAAGATGAGTGGAAAGTATGCTTCAAACCGAAAATGGTGTAGCAAAAGGCATCAATGAGGAAAGGAATGGCTTGCATAATAAAGAACTAAAAGTAGTTTGGGATTGCTACGAATATAACAGTGATGATATAAGGGCTAAGTTGTGAGGCTAAAAACATAGGCAAATGCCAGGTCATGGAGGACCTTACATGCATAAAACCAAAACACCAAACTCTTTGCTGTTGAGTCAATTCTGACTCATAATGACCCTATTGGAGAGAGCAGAACTCTCCCAGATGGTTTCCAAGGCTGTAATATTTATGCAAGATGACTGCAACATCTTTCTCCAATGGAGCCTCTGGTGGTTTTGAACTGCTGACCTTTGGTTAGCAGCAGAATGCTTTAACCACTGTGCCACTGGGATTTGTTATATATAAGTATCTTTAATTAATTCAATAGGTGATTTCTTTGAATCACTGAACTGTTTTTATTTAACATGTTGAAGGAGCATTTTAAAAAGATCATTCTGTGGTCATGGGAATGAAAAGGAATGAATTTGAGAAGATATGTGAGGCTTTATGATTGATTGGATGTGTGGATAAGAGAGTCAGGGGTCTAGTGTAATGCTCAGGTTTTTGGTTTGGGTGACTAGGGAGATGGTGATAATATTAACTCTAAACACTGGGTGACAAGTTCAGTTTTGCAGTAGAAGATTATGCGATTTCTTGAGTTCTGTCTTAGATCAGTAAAGAAGTAATAGTGAGAGAGTGAGCTGGAATGAAAGGAGGTTATGGTCATGGCATAGTGCATAAGGCATTTGACTGCTACCCAGAAGGCTGGCGGTTCAAACCCACCAGATGCTCTTGGGAAGGAATGTTGGGCAGTCTGCTTCCGTAGAGATACTGCCTTGGAAACCCAAGGAGGGGTCGCTATGAGTTGGAATTGACTTGATGGCAGTGAGTTTGGTTTTTTGGTTTTGGGTCAGAAAATGGAATATTGGAGTTAAATTGTCTGACATTGAATCATTCTAGGTGACAGCTAGGTAGGTCTCTGTATGAGTAGCTTTAGGAGAGCAGAGGATAACAGGAAACCGAAGCTAGTGTATTGAATAAGCCATCTATGTGGCTAATGATTTAGGATGAGAGGATGTGGGGAAAAGAGGCAGATTGTGACCCAGGTGCAGTGAATATAGGGGATTAATGGGGAGGGTGGTAGATGACAGATAAGGAAGAAGAGGGGTAGCATGTGATATAGCCATATCGCATAAACCTCAAAGGAAGAGGCGTTTTTAAACACAAGAGTAGAAAAGTAATAGTTTTTGACTTTTCATTACTGGAAGCAGAGTTCTGAGATTGCCATCTTTATTCAGGACTCATTAATCACCCTGTTTGCTCTGAAGAGACTGTTCTTAGTTCTAGAAAAGTAGGAGGGCAAATACCCTTATATAGAATTCTTTCTGCTGATACTTGGTGGTGAAAGGCAGTGGAGGTTTCTCCTCAGATGATCAGTGGGTGGAAACAATCAGATAAAAAACCCAAAGCAAACCTGTGTGTGTCTAGTTGATGCCGACTCATAGTGACTATTTAGAACAGAGTAGAACTACTCCATGGGGTTTCCAAGGCTGTAAATCTTTACAGAAGCAGACTGCCTAATTTTTCTCCCAGAGAACATGCTGGGTCCAAATCATTGACCTTTGGTTAACAGCCTAATGCTTTAACCACTATACCACCAGAACTCTCAATCAGATAAAGTGGTGAGAATGTGTATCTCCATGGTTTCTGGGAAGAGTATAATGGAAAGAGCCTAGGTATTGGGGTTAGAAAGAGTAAGATTCTGATACACGCTCTGCCACTTACTAGCCTTATGACAGTAAGCACATTGCATCAATGCCCTTATCTATAAAATTCTTATTTCACAGAGTGTCACAAAGATTACATGAAATCATATATGTACACACACACACAAAATCACTAGAAAAGCAACTAGTACTTCATGGATGCTAAGTAAATGTTAGTTCCCTTCTACCTATACTTAAAGAACTTATGCTCTGCTAGCAGAATGGCCCATATTGATAGGAGAAATGAAACATTTTCATACTTACCCTAATTATAAAG